GTCGTGTTGTCGTGGTCGCACTTGCATGGTTGGTGTAACTTGGACTGCTTCGGACTTCTCGGCGGCATCGTCATGGTACGTTGTAGAACTTGATCCTAGAAGTCATTGAAGTTGAAGACCTCGTCCGCATCGAGTGGTGCGTGCTTGTCGATGTAGGGGTAGTGGTCGTGGTGCGGCTGGAACATCAGCTTGCCCGCTCACGTCGTCGATGTCAATCGGCATGTAGTGTTGGTGTACGTGCGGAGCCATTGTCGTCGATGGCGTCCAGACTCAGCCTCTTGTGGTGTGGCAGCATCGTTTGGTGTAGCCTTGTGCTCCTTCGGTGTAGCGGTAGTAGTGCGGCCATCGTGTGGCCAGACTTTAAACTGCATACTCGACTTCGCGCCGCACCGTAGGTATCCCGGAAAATACGCCTGCATATCCAGAAGGATACAGTTTTAGACGGTGGCCGTCCAGTGCCGGCACCATATCTCTGGACTCTCCAAACTGCTACGTACGTGACTTCATGCATGACGCATGAATTTTCACGCAAACAACGTACTCAAGGCCACTATTATTTTCATCTTATAATAATCAACACACATGTAATAAATTCATATACATGCATGTCTATGAGATGTTTTAAACGACCAAAAATCCTTCAAACAAATGCCCCCCACTAAGGCGAGTCTGGATGACGCGTAGCGAGTCCGGACTCAGCTTGGTGAAGAAACAAATCAGATATCTGGGCGCAACAAAGAAATTGCTGCCGTATCTGTCATGGACTTTCATAACTTACCGGATCGCAAAAGCACAGCCTCATCAGGAGTACCATATATACCTACATAATGCCGTGTACTTTCCATAATCACGATCTTGTTTGCTTGTCGTTCCTCACCCGCGCCGTCCAAGGAAATTGGTGAGTATCGGCAGTGGTGGATCTAGGATTTTTATATAGGGTATGCCGGATTAAAAAAAATTTATATCTAAACCGATGAAAACCATTTAACAATTCGGTAAACTATCATAAAAATTGCTCACAATTCAATATAGAATTACTAAATCTAACATATAATAAGTCAAATTACAATACAAATAGTTCACATGCATTTTACTAAAGTCCATTTACCAACTCACTAAATAATCTTTGGACGGTGACCGCTGGCAAATCAACGCCAAGATTATTCTTGCAAGTGCAATATTATGCAGACATTAAATGGCAAACCCTTTCGCAGTATCTAGCCTCGACGCCATGCCTCCACGGCTCCGCCTCCAGCAGTCCAGCCTCCGTGTGAGGCGCGATGCTGCCGTGACAGCTGACCAGCCGACGACACTTGGCCTTCGAGGTCGGGGCTCAGCGTGACTGCATTTGAAGCGCGATCGTCCACTTGTCTGTCGGATCCGCGCACGATCAGACGCCCAATCTCTGTGAGTCGCAAAGCCGGAGACTCCATACCCAGTACTCAACTAGTCGATGACTAATAGGGAATACTTGGATAGTGGTGACCGTGACAAGCAAGTAAATCCTGCTTGCGCGGAGATGGGGACTCCATACTTGCGACGAATGTGTGATTGACTGAGTTTGTGTTTACAGTATATATATACTCCTATATTTAGTACTTTGCACGGCTCGATCGCAGGGTATGCCGTGGCATATACGGCATACCCTGTAGATCCGCCCATGTTACCGAGTGCCTGATATGTGGCACTCGGCAAAGAAATTAATCTTTGCTGACGAGTTCTTTGCCAACTATTCTTTGCCGAGTGCGGCACTTGGCAAAGCGTTTGCCGAGTGCAATAGGGGCTTTACCGAGTGTCCTAGGCATTCGGCAAAGAGTCCGTCTGCTGTAGTGTCAAAGATTGTACGTACGACTCAGTAGGGCTTCTGTCAACACGCTGGTGAGTGGTGACTGCTGGTAGCGACCAACTCCCACTCGATCTGTTAGCCACAGTTGATAGCTGTACGGCACATTGGTCCCGGCATAGCCATACGTCGGCATATACATGCAAATGTATACGCGGTGATGTAGGCTATTTTATAAAAAACTTATGATGTAGGCTATTTTAACCTTATGCACAAAGTTCAAGAAAGTAAATCAAATGACAGTACCGAGTTGAACTCCTTATGATGTAGGCTATTTTAACCTTATGCACAAAGTCCAAGATGACTCGCTGAACTCCTTTTATCCCAAGTTATAAGTATTTCTGGCATTTCAATTTTGTCCTACAATATACTCCCCCCGTTTTCCTAAAGCAAGTTGTTTTGAGACTGTTAAGTCAAACATTTTAAACTTTGAGTACAAATAAATTACTTTGGGTTGAGTTTGACTTCAGGATCCATCTCCAATGTTGCAATTTGCAATACCTCTGAGGAGATCGCAAAGCTTTATATATCCCTCCACCGCGAAAAGAACCTTTATCAGTGGTAGCATGAGGGAGATGTCCATTAGAATATATAATGTGCATGCCAGATTAATTTCACCTAGGGAATCTCCTTCTTGCTGTAGAATTTGTCTAAGTGTTTAAGCAAGAGAGTAAAGTTTTGACTTCTAAGGTTAATTATGCCCAGGCCACCTTATCTTTTTGGTTTAGAACATTTTTCCAAGCTACTTGGGGTTTCATCTTGGCATTGCTATCAGATCCTCTCCAAAGACAGTATCTTCTAGCTCTGTCAATGTAATCAAGGACTGCAATTGGCAACTACAAAGAGCACATTGCATCTGTTGGTAATGAAGATAGCATTGAGTTTACCTGTTCTAACCTTCCAACATGGATGGCATAAGAATTTTGAAGTAGTCGTAAGTCTTCTTTCCACCTTATTCATGATAAATCCGAAGTGTTCAACTCTGGGTTTGGTAGTTCCCATTGGCAATCCAAGATAACTGAAAGTGAGAGACTCGAGTTTGCAACCAAACACCCTAGCCAAGGAGACCCAGTTCATTACCTGGTGGTTGCGCTCAAAGGAAGATGGTGCCCAAGCTAGGCAGGAGAGGCTTCGACACCATTGTTATGTTGGTCAGTTCGACCGTTTGGAAGGAAAGAAATGCAAGAGCCTTCCAGGGGAACTCCTCCTTAGCTCAGCAATTAACTCAATCCATCGTCGACGAGGCTTCAGCTTGGCTACAAGCAGTCTACAGGCATTTAAGGTCGCTAGCTGTGTGTATCTGTAATATTGGTTTTAGTGTAAGCGCTTCTTTTCTTTAAGTGAGTTTGGGCGGCCGCATCGGTAATCTACTGGTTACCAGTGTTATGTCTTGTAATGTTTCTACCCTTCTTTACGTGCTGAGGTACAGTAGCGAAAAAAAACACCCTAGCCAACTGGTGAGCTTTTTCAGGCGAGAGGTTCAAAGGCACTAGGCAAGATTTTTTGAAATTGATCCTGAGCCCAGTTGAGTAAGAGAAATATTCCAAGAGGACTTTTAAGGTGAAGAGTTCTCTCTGAGAGACTTTCATGATTCTGATAATGTCATCGCCATATTGGATGCTAGGGAATTGGGTCATCTCCTAGGGCTGAATTGGGAGCTCAAATAGACCATTTCTGTGGCCTTTATTGAGAATGCATTGAAGCAGATCAGCAGCCAACACAAAGGGAAGGGGGAGAGAGAGGGTCTCCTTGCCTGACTCCACGCTTACAATGAAAACGTTTTCTAGGAACACCATTGAGAAGCATTGATGATGAACTAGAGGCAAAAATTCTTTGGGTCCAGTCACACCATTTGTTATCAAAGCAAAGATGCAACATCATTTAGAGGATCACATTATGCTCCAAAGTATCAAAAGCTTTTGTGAAATCCAGTTTCAAAGTGACAATTTCCCTTTTAGAGTGCTGATACTGATAAATATATTCATATGCCCAAGCAAGGCAATCCTGTATTGTCCTGGTCTTAATGAAGCCATATTGATTTGTGTGGATGGGGAGATTATCTTTGATTGGAGCCTGTTAGCCATATGCTTTGTAATAATCTTGAGGATACAATTTAGAAGAGAGATGGATCTGAAATCATTCACATTAACAGGATGTTTGTTTTGGGGATGAGGGCGATGAAGGAATTATTTATGGCCTGAAGGGTCCAAGGAGACATTAAATAAGTCACAACATAGGGTGTAGAAGTCTTCTTTTATTATCTCCCAACAACTCTTGAGGAACAATCCATTGAAACCATCTAGTCCTGGGGCTTTGTCAGCAGGCATTTGCTTGGTTACTGCATCAATGTCCTCAATGGTGAAAGGTCTTGACAGATGCTCCAGGTCTCTCTCTATTCAACTAACTGGCTTAGATTATATAGCATTACAAGATTTGTAGTGCATCCCATTCTATTCTTATATTCCTCTAGAAGCAAGGCAGCCTTTTCACTATGATCAGAAACAATTCTACTATCTTCAGTGTCAAGAGAGGTGATGGTGTTCAGTTTGTATCTCTTAGTCTCACACTGAGCTCACAACATTCATAGCTATATTCTATAGATCTGGGAGATTAGTTACTTACTCCAACCATCCTAATATACAAGGCGTAACCAATTTTTTATTCAAATCCTATAATATAAGGTGTGCTCTCATTAGACGCGCATACATCCATACAGTAGTACTAGTGTTACGAGAGAGAATTAAATGCGTTTCTTAGTCTTTGAACTAGAGGTGGTTATGCTTACGCCTTATATACTAGGATGGATGGAGTATTTGATAACTAAAAAAATTACTGAACACCTAATCATGATGCATCCATGGCTTATACAAAAAAAACCTATATTAAAACATGCAAAGTTGAACAGTTGGTTTCATCTTGGTGCAGGACCTATACGAGTTGCTGATTCAATGTCTACCTGTTGCAACTCAACCGCAGCATTTTGCCGAAGATGATCACTTGGTTTTTCATTGGTATGCAAATCAACACTTGTTGTGCTGAGATTGATTGTGCTAGTCGAGACTGAGCTGTAGTAGCCCATTGCATAGGACACCTCCAGCTCCGAGCTCTCCTTGAGCTCTGCGACAATGTCGGTCATTGCCGGTCGCTCCCTTGATCGTTATTCTTTGCACTTCAGTGCCAACTCTGCAACTTTCCACAGAGAGTTGACATCATAGATCCCTCCCATCCTTGGGTCAACAACGCTTGCAATATCACCCTCAGAGAGCTTCTGGCGCACCCATAGTGCAACATGGATGCTCTCAGTGTCACTTACAGGAACTGCTGGTGGCTGGCCTGTGATAAGCTCCAATAGCACAACACCGAAGCTGTATACATCACTCTTCTCACTGAGCTGGGACGTGTTGTAGTATTCAGGGTCAAGATATCCTAGGGTGCCTGCTGGTTGTGTGGTGACATGGGTCCTGAACTCATCAGAGAATGCTTTCATGAGCCCAAAGTCAGCTATCTTCGCCTCAAGATCAGCAGATAGAAGAATGTTCTTTGTCTTCACATCCCTATGGATCAGTGGTGGCTGGCATGATTTATGCAGATACTCCAGTCCTGCACCCAAGTGTGGAACCAGTAATTACTTTGCAATTTATCTAGTGTTAGATCTTTTTTCGAAAAAAAAAAATCTAGTGTTAGATGGATTGTTAGGAGCTAGACACATGGTAATGAGACCAAAATTTTTCTTCAGATCTAGTTAGTATATGAAACAGAGAGTAAGATACAGGCTAGTACACGCTGCAAGATCTATATGATACAGGCTTCTCTTACTACTGTATTTCTAATTCAAGGTACTGTATGTTCAGCCTTACAAACCTTGGGCGGAGTTGAGAGCAATCTTGAGACGTTGATGCCAAGTGAGGGGTGTAGCAGCAGAGGCCTCTCCTGTGATTGATGGTCAGAACAAATTTATTATAGCAACGTTTATGTAAAATGGTGAAATACTAGTTGGCTTGTCAAATTAGGTCATAATATGCATCACTTGTCATGTCAAAAGTGTATGATGGCACAAAAATCAGGGCCCTTAATTTTGCTATGAATATGTTAGACACAGCACACAATAAACATGGCACCTTACACTTTAATGTATTCAAACTTTAACCCAACAAATATCCCCATGCTAAGATGACATTTTCCTGCATCTATGCTGCCAATGTGTTTGACAAAGCTAAAATAGAAATGTGAAATTTTGTCATTAGTGGAAGAGTATGTTTTTTTTCTTTATGAGGGTGCAGGCAGGTAGCAAGTTACCTCTTAGACAGTCCTCTAGGTTTCCCCCCTGCATGTATTCATAGACAAGGGCCATATGTTTCTTGTTCTTGCAATATCCAATCAAGGAAACCAGATTTTTGTGATGAACTCTAGACAAATGCTGAGCCTGAAATATGTAATAACAACATTTTATTTCAGTTTTCAAATGCACACGGAAGATAAAGCACAAAAGAATAGCCTACCTCGGCTAAAAACTCTTTATCCCCTTGAGAGGATGTTTTTGAACGCATCTTGACGGCAACTGGACTTCCATTCTCCAAATATCCTAGGAAGACAGAACCAAACCCTCCTCGCCCTATTTCTTCTTTGAAGTTAGCTGTCATGAGCTTCAGCTCCTTGTAGGTGAACTTTCTGTTCTCAAATATGTGTGAACTGGCTTGAGGGCTAATAAACCTTGAGTTGTTTGCCATCCATGTATCTGGATTGAATCATGTATTATATGAAAATATTCAATTAATACACATCTAATTATTTCCTCGATAAATATTTTTTAAACAAATTCCTTGAAGAAATGTCACCTTGTCTGTTTCTCATTCTATGGAGGATAAGTAATCCTGCAACAAACAGTACAGTTGCTACTGCTATTGGAACAACTGTTGCAACGATAAGTGTTTTGTTTCTTTTCTTCTTCTTTGGCTCACATGTAGAAGGACCATTATCACACAAATTTACGTTGTTATCAATCCTGACATTTGGACAACATTATCAGGATTAATTAAATATATAGAGAAAAATGCTGCAGTGTACTTGTTATGTGGCTGCTCGGATTGAGAGGAAGAGGCGGCGAGGAGCTACAGTACCCGCGGGTACTGTTCACGCGAGGGAGAGAGGGCTCCCGAGGAAGTCAGCAACTTAATTGTTGCTTCTTGCTTGACTATAATTGATACATGATTATCTTTTTATAGAGATGACTGACTTGACCCCTAAGAAAATATCCTAACCGAATCAATCTAACATATCTCTTTCCTAACAAACCAAACCAATCTAATCTAATCTGTTTCACGCGCTACAACACCGTGTGCTACAGTACCGCATGGGCCCTGGGCCGGCTCCACTTGCCATAACACTACTCCGCCCCTCCAAGACACCTCGTCCTCGAGCTGTGTCGATTGCTGGAGCAGAAGACCTTGCAGTCCAGAGAAGATCGCCATGGCAAACCTTCCTCCTCGAGGTGCTAAATTTGGCTGCTCCATCTGATCTGCATGGAATCGAATCCGCCCGGATCGAATGCATGGAGCGCCTGCACGTGAAGTCGATGGTGCCCTCCACGAGCAGCCACCCCCGCTATGGGTGCAGCCGAGCGGGGTTGTGCTTGAGGCATACTCCAAGCGACCGATGGAGCTTTGAAGGCCTGCTGCTGAGCAGCGGAGAATAAGCGCATGCAAACAGCCACGGCCCTGCGCGAGGGATCGGTGCTGTGGCTCGTAGAGGCAGCGACAAAGGCACCATGTCCGCCAATGTCGGTGCATGGATGATCGCCTGTATTGGTGACACTAGTGCTGGCGGGGTTGTTGCCGAAGCTGGTGATGGGACTGCCAGAGTTATGGCAGCCGGGGCCTTCATTGGTGATGTGGCGAACTCCAATGGGGCCTGTGCGGCGGCCGAGGGCGCCGCGCCCGTGCTATCCAACGAGGGCGACACGGCGGAGAGCGTCGGCATCAGGCTGCCGCCGTGGAACAGGGGGCCGTCCACCCCGTCGTAGAGGATGCCCGGAGCCGAGGCGTCGCCAGGTGCCAAGACAGCCCCAGTGACCGGGAGCGGCGGTAGGTGCGGCTGGGTACTGGGCGCCGTGTAGATGGGTTTCGACGAACCGGCGATCCAAGCCGAAAGCGGTGACGGCGACGGCGACGGCGACGGCGAGAACTTGATCTGCTGGATGGGAACGCCCTGGGACGGCGGTAGCACGGCTGGGAACGAGGTCGTCGCAGTCCCGTCGTAGGGCATCCCATACTGGTACGAGATGACCGGTGCCGTGGTCGCGGCGAGGAAGGCCCTGATGCCCGCCACGTCCTGCACTAATTCTAGGATTGCGGCCGTCATCTGCTCCGGGGTGAGGACGAGGGCGGCGGGAGACGACGGCACCGGGGCAGAGGGCGTGATCGCCCCTGAGGATGCCAGCGCGCCCAATGCCGGCGCGCTGATACGTGGCAGCAGCGCCGACGAAGACGCTAGTGGCAGCGGGTGGACATGATCGAACCACATGATCGAACCAGAGATCTCTGATACCATATTGTTATGTGGCTGCTCGGATTGAGAGGGAGAGGCGGCGACGGAGCTTACAGTACCCGTGGGTACTATTCACACGAGGGAGAGACGGAGCAACTTAATTGTTGCTTCCTATAACTGATACATGGTTCTCTTTTTATAGAGATGACTGACTTGACCTCTAAGAAAATATCCTAACCGAATCAATCTAACATATCTCTTTCCTAACGAACCAAACCAAACCAAACAATCTAATCTGTTTCATGTGCTACAGTACCGCATGGGCCCTGGGCCGGCTCCACTTGCCATAACAGTACTTGTTTGATTTAAGTAGCAGGAGTTAAGTCATTATGTGTTTCTAAGTTATCCTTGAGTGATTCTTTATGAAAAATTTAACGGTCCATCTCCAGAGAACCTCAAGGATGAAATGGACTTTTCAAATATATAAATTGGCTACATGATTCTGACCTCAATACCAGAGATCCATTTTGTATCTTTTGTAGCAGAGCTGCAGGTACTGATCCACTGAGTATGTTGCTTGACAAATCACTGCAGAAAGTAAGTTCATGTTCAATATGGTGATGCAGGTATTGCAAAATTAATTTTAGGTTAACAGAAATACTTACAGGAATGACAGTGACGACATTTGCGCTAGAAAATCTGGCACTGGACCAGATAGGCTATTATTTGACAGATCTCTGGATTAAAGAAAGTTCTTGTGAAAAACACTAGAATAGTAATCATAACTCCTTATTAAAAAAGGTCGAATGCTATGCTACGGGTTTCTGAAAAATTAGTAGGTGAATGTTGCATGTATGGTGGTGGGAACCAGAAAGAGTTATAAGATATGATGAGTCACTTACAGTTGTTGGAGGGATTTTAGATCTCCAAAAGAAGAATTAACTGTACCAGTCAACCCACTCGATGATAAATTCCTGGAACAGATCATATTCCAGACCAGGGAAACAATACAATCTTCTTTAGTCATTTACTATCTATGTAAATCTTTAATGGTAGAATGCCTTGAAGTGTACTACTTACAGAGCTATTATCTGTGCAGGACCAGATGATGGATAACTGCAGTTCAAGCCATCCCATGCAAATGCTTTTGGTGCACAAGGGTCACCCTTCCAATTTTTCTTCAGTGCATATCTTTCTCGAATTGTCATCATAGCTTTAGCTGTTCATATGAAGAAAAGAAAAGAAGGTAAGTTAAATTTATGCTTTCATGACATCCAAACCATTTAGAAATGGACTAGTAAATTCTAACTGAGCTTCAGGTTTTCGATAAGATGGTACCGTCTATACCATTCGTCGCCATCTCAATCATTGGCTTGACTGAATATATCTCGAATGCATTCAGGATGGGTGGAAGCGTGGCCGCCGGTGTGGCGACAAGCGAGACGCTATGCTGACCAGGCCCCTGTACCGTCCTCTTCACAGCCTCCGTGGAGAGGTACTTGGGGGTGAAGCCCTGGCTGGTTCCATCATTCCCCGTAGCATTGTCGACGAGGATGTCAAACTGTCTCAGCCCATTGCTTGGCACCCTCAGTAGCTCCGCGAAGTAGAGGAACAAAAGGTAAGTTGAGTTGCCGTGGGCGTCCTCCAAGGAGGGGTCTGAGCTCCATGAGATGTCCATCTGGGTAGTTCCGTTCACCGGAGTGGCGGCGTTCTGCAGTATCTCCGATGGCTTTGTCGAAGCTGCTGGTGGCGTTAGAGACGTCGACTTCCTTGGTGGTGTTTATGTTGGTCCATGCGGCATTGCGGCCATACCTTTGCCACAGGCGGTCATACGAATCATCGGGGTACCTGAATGGCGGGACAGAATAATCTGCATTGAACTGGTATCGATTGAAATCGAATCTGGCTGATGGGCGGCACAGGCTGAGCAAAAACAGAGACTGATTGACCGTAGCCTCCGGGTACATGGTTGCACTGAGCGGCCTGAGCTCAAGCCCAGAGATGAACGGTGTACCCAACCCTATATTGACCAAGCACACCTGTAAATGTTCACATTACTTATGATGAATTCATTCATTTAACAAAAAAACAATGCATATTTGACAGGAAAAATGTACTGCGAAATAGACAAATTACTTTTGGTAGGAAGTATCAATGGAGGCAACACCTTTGGAAGACAAGATTATTGTGAAATCTATGATACCATGTATTATGAAAAAATTGCTGATATCATGGTTACGAAAAAAATGCTTTAGTAAATACATTGTCATTACAAAAATTGCTGATATCATGGTTATAAAAAAAAATGCTTTAGTAAATCTGACTTGACAGCGCCCGGACGTCCGGTCCGGGGCGCTAGCATCAGACGATGCCCACACAGCGAGCGAGCGAATGCCCCACCGCGTCGGGCTTGTGAGCGAGCACCCCAGCAGTGGTCCTATGCCATCCCGGACGTCGCCCGCTTCCCACACGCATCCCATATGCAACACCCGATTTACTTTTGAAACATCTAGATATAATAGTTACAACATACAAAAGAAGACATATGAAACACTTGAAACAAGCATATGAAACGACACTTGCAAAAACACATGAAAAACACTTGAAAAAACGGGAAGAGTGCCTAGAGCAGGTGGCAAAGTCTCCAAGGGTGGAGCTTCTAGTCCGAGGTTCGAACCCTGGCTCCCCACGTTGGCCTCCAGGAAGGCCGCGCCCAAGGTGGCGCTTGTTAAAAAAACACTTGCAAAAACACCTGAAAAACATTTGAAAACCATTGCAAACATATACAACATCCAGACGAAACACTTGCAACATACGTATGAAATACCTGAAACACTTGAAACATATGCTTTCAACATGCATGCATTTGCAACATCCAGATCTACTTCTGCAACATCCAGATAAAACACTTGCAACATACGTTTGGAACAAATGAAACATTTGGAACATACACTTGAAACATACGTGTATAGCCATTGCAACATATGCAACATCCCGATCTATTTTTGCAACATCGATATACAACACTTGCAACATACCTCTGAAACACTTGAAACATACTCTTACAACATGCGCTTTAAGCGTAGCATCTACTTGCTGCTTGGACTAATCGAGGCTCGTCGATGTGGAGCTCGATGCCGCGGGAGGGATGCCAGTGGGCGGGCGGTTGCGCGGCCTCTGCGAGCGGCTATGCGGCCACCAACGAGCTGCTGCGCAGCTCCCGAGGACAGGGCGGGTGGGTGCGGTCCCCCGCTGTGGAGGCGACAGCGCTGCCCGTGGCGAGCGTCCCTCCTGCTAGGGAGGTGAGCGGCCGGCGGGTGGCTCGTGGAGTCGGCCGCAGAAGATGCATGCGCGCGGTAAAAGAAGGCTGTGATGGGCGAGGAGGATTGGGGAATCGACATTTATTTTTTTATGGAGAAGCCGGGAGCAGGCTTCGTATTGGGCTCCACAGCCCAGGAAGGTGCCTCCAGAGCATTGGACGCCCTAAGGAGAGCATTTCTGTTAGTAAATACATTGTCATTACAAAATGATCATGGCGATGAGCTCTAGCCACGGCAGCACCACACCAACCTTGATCTCCAACCTCGGTGCCATGGCCTATGGCGCCGAGATGTGTTACCTCAGCGCCGAGCCCAGGGTCCAAAGACGGGTTTATGACGCCCATGGGTATAAATGTGAATTTTTGATGGAAAATGGTTAAATTGAAAAAATTTCAGGTGATGCCACCGACACCATTTCTTACGCCTATTTCCACTTTTCTCCCCTCTTCTCTCTCTTCCATGTAGGATTCTGCTAGATGGGTTTGACTATAAAACAAGTTGAGGTGTATTATTGTACTTGCTCTTAGACACCGGAAATTAATAGCCTAGGGAGGGTCAGACACCTTTTGCCAGGTTTAGACCAAACACATCCTACAAGTGTGGAATGACAACAATTAAATGCTCGTGCTAAGCCCGTTAGGATCTGTCCTTGTATCTAAAGTAACATATGGTTTGTTTTCTCATAAAGTATCAAACTGAATTTCTGAAGCATATATATCATGGTTAGACTTGTTATAGATTTTACATCTTTTTAGGGCAAATATATAGCTTCTACATCTTATTTGGTCTATTTACAAGTCTAGGTTCCATTTTAGACTTCCAGCATTGGTCAAAACCTCTGTTTTTTTTAAAACTTTCCTGGTTAGAAGAAAGAAAGTGCAGGACAATGATGCTTTGAAAGCGTCTGATGTTTTTTTTTGTTTCATGCTTGTGGGAGAGTGAGAGTTTGAGTTCGTGACAAAAGAGAGGGAAGAGAACAAATGTATCTATAGAGAAGTTAGTGCTATGTTTACTATTACAATTCAGTCTGCGTATGAACTATCCAACTTTAAGTAGAGAAGGTCATGTTATTTAAATTTATTTGTATGATAGTTTAGTAGTATATTTTTTTTGTGAGCGTAACTGCATATGGTGAAAATTTAGTGTTTCTTTGGTAGCAACCTGTGTCAAGCAACAGTAGAAATTGAGCTATCCATATATAGATGTCTTTGGAAAATGACATGTTCCAAGTGTGGATTTTGCAGGAGTCCCGGGCAAACGAAGCCGTGGGTTTGAGTCCAGGTGTGGGTTGGGTGTTGGGATATGGAATCCACACGTGGGTGCATTCTCCAATGGATTATATCCACGTATAGCCAAACGAAGCCTAATTTGATATAAAACAGAGTGAGAATGGTTTGGATTCTCTCAGTTCTCACCCTGGCCTAATTTGGGAGAAGAGGCAGCCAAACTCAGGGAAAAAAAACCTCCCACGAATAACTAAATATCTTATTCAAATAATATCCCCACGAATTGCTCATCCTGAAAAAGTCAGGGATTCCCAGAGGATTTGAGTTTCCAAACTAACCCTGTAGCACCAGCTAGGATGATCAGGTATCGCACAGTGTATTTCCGTAGAGGGGACCCAACGTGTGTGTAGGAGTGGAAGTGTGTGCGGCGCTGAGTTGCATTGCTCGGTGGGCACGTCACAGGTACGCTCGGGCGCACTCTATCATTGTTTAAGCGCGTGGTCAATACGGATGCAAGTTTTTCCATGATTCGTAAGTACTTTTGGCAGGTTTTCGAAAAATTAAGAAAAGAAAAATAGGAGTGGGCTCTAATTAATTATATTTAATTTTATAATAAACTCGAGAATTTCTAATCAACTACTAACTAGCACCAAATTGATGTTCGATCAATTCAAACTAGAAGGCTCACTATGGGATACTGTGTATTTACCGAGTGTGAGTAACACTCGGCAAATAGTGCTACACATTCGGCAAACTGTTTACCGAGTGCCACACTCGGTAAAGTGGACTCGGCAAACAACAACTCGGTGAAGTTATTTTACCGAGTGTCTAATATCGGCACACTCGGAGTAGAGAGTTACGGAGTGCTACAATGACACTCGGTAAACAATTATGACTTGACGGTCGTCAGCCTCCAAACTAACCGTTAACGGCGACGTTTACCGAGTGTCACTAGTAGCACTCGGTAAATAAATTAGCATTTCGTGATTAAAACAATTCCGTAAATAAATTTTTTGAATAATGTTTACCGAGTGTAGCTCCTAACACTCGGTAAAAGAATAACCATTTTCGTGATTAAAATAATTCCGCAAATAAACTTCAGGAATAATGTTTACCGAGTGTTCCCACTCGATAAAAAGTAGTCAAATATTTCCGAGTGGGGACGCGGCACTCGGTAAAAAATGGCACACTCGGCAAAATTCACAGAATCAGAACCAATTTGGTTCTGTTCGCTGTTTTACCGAGTGCTACACTCGGTAAAACTGACAGAATCTCTGTTTTACTGAGTGCTACACTCGGTAAAATATGTCCATAGAATTTTTTTTGTTTGTTTCAGTGCATATCCAGTCACAATAAGCAACAAAATCACAGAAAATTATAATAACATGACAAATAGGCAATATATATCACATATATGTCCACAAATGTCACATCCACTCACAATAACCAACATATGTCGACAAGCACCATGCAAAGTCCACAAACACCATCAACATATGTCCAAAGTCCACAAAGTTCAACCAAGTCCACAGTTCAACATACAAAACTATCAAACAAGGTCGGATGGCCTGTCACATGGTCGGAGGCCTGCAGAGAAACGGAGTCAAGTCCACAGTTCAACATACAAAACTATCAAACAAGGTCGGATGGCCTGTCACATGGCATCTTCGTGTGAACACACCAGCCACAAAATAACCCATAAGCCAGGAAGTCATGCATGGAATAATGGTACCAAATATGCATTCTGAAGTTTGTCTTTGTGAATCGGTCGTATGTCACTACCCCTTCGTCCCATGCACGGACCAAATCGTCTATCAAAGGCTCCATGTACACACTCATATTAGCCCCCGGGTGTCCTGGAATTATAAGTGACAAGAAAATATTTTGCTGTTGAAAGGCGACGCCAGGTGGGAGGTTGAGAGGGATGACGAATACGGGCCAACATGTGTATGGTGAAGAACCCATTCCATAAGGATTGAACCCATCAGTTGCCAGTGCAATGCGTACATTACGAGCCTCGTCAGCTTTGTCGGTATGCTTCCGATCGAAGCTTTTTCATGATTCACCATCGGACGGATGTATCATCTTGTCGATGTATCGGCCCGATTTTGTGCCACGTCATCATTTTGCGGATTCCTCGCTCATGAAAAGCCGTTGGATCCTCGGTATGAAAGGAAGGTACCTCGGGATCTTTGCGCCGACTTTTGTTTGCGTCTTCCGACCATCACCCGATTCTAACTCAATGTACCTAGATGCCTTACACTTCGGACAAGACTTATCGTCAAGATGTTCTCCCCGAATAAGATGCATCCGTTCGGACAAGCATGTATCTCGCTCGCACGACATCTTAAGTGCACGAAGGATTTTATTTGACTCATACGTGTTCTTTGGCGTAACGTGATCATCCGGAAGTAGGGTGCCAACTCATCGCCAACATTGATCGAAGGATTCTCTACTCCGGCTAAATCGGGACTTCACAGCCATTAGACGTGCAATGGCATCCAGTTTAGAAACATTGGTGCGCCCGTGAAGGGGTTGTTGTGCCGCATCCAACATGGCGTAAAACGCCTTTGCGATTTTGCTCGCTTCTCGCCGCACTTCCTTCATCGAAAGCCATGTCATGGTCATTTAACATTTCGCCACCCGGCTTCAGAATCAAACTCCTCGATCCGTTGTCTCACGACCTCTTCTCTCGCAACGATGGCGTTCACCATGCATGGTCCACGGGTATAGTTCTCTACAAATCCATTGTTGACAAGATCTTTAGTCATCTCCTCATATGTTTTCATTGCCTTGTTCTTACACTTCCTACAGGGACACCAGGCATGTCGCCATCCGTTTGCAAATGCCTTCGTCATGAAATCATTGGCCTTCTCAATCCATTCATTTGTATATTGACCCCTCTTCTGATAGCCCGTGTACATCCACTGACGGTCATCCATCCTAACATATAGACGATATTGCAGTTTAGAGCAATAGAGTAGTAGTGCTAGAGAAAAACCATATGAGATGATAAAGAGACATTCATGTTCTTGGTCGATTCACATAGAAGATGTTTGCTAGATTGGATGATGAGATTTTACCTAAGGTTGAAAGGCCGCTATGTCACTTGTAGATGGAGGAATACATGGAACCAATTTTTTTGTAGCCACAAACATCACTAGCAAGATTTATCGAAGATTGAGGTAGAGCATCACCAGGTTTTGTAGCGTGTCTCAACTCTCAACCACAAACAAATCACTGATAACAAGCCCTAGTTACTAATGAATAGATTGTTCAAAGATTTTGGACAACAAGAGTGATATATTTAGCAAGTGGAATACATGTTGATGGGATAGGTACATACTTGTTGATAGCATGAGAAACTTAGACTGGATCATGTGGAAAAAAATTAAGAAAAGATTGGATAATTTCCATATATTTTGGACAGAAAGGCAACCAATATATAAACATGTATGCTTATGAAAATTATTATCGGTGTCGCAGCACTAAAGGGTAAAAACTGCCGTTTCTCCTTTGAGGAGATCGATCAGAAGACAGTCAGTAGCAGCAGCAGCTAGCTAGCTTCTTTTGACCGAATCACTGATCAGCGTAAAGCATTCAGTATGCACTGTTAATGTTATAGCATAATTAAATGCATGTACTCCTAGTACTCTATATACCCTTGAATGCCGCCTCGGCCTTCATGTTCTTCCTGGTGCAGTCGGCGCATTTGGCGAGGCCGACGACCACCGAGGAGGCCTCGCTGGAGGCAGCGCTTGCGACGGCGATTACCATCAGCACGGCGCAGACGCCGGGGAGAAGGCCCCCAAGTGCCGCAGCCATGTTTGGAGGATGGATAGATGGATGACTCGATGAGATGGAGAAAGGCAATGGAATGCTTGCCTTATATAGCCCTATGCATTGATCAAACACAGCTCGATCTTACATGCATGCACGCATGATCATGAGGTGAGGCGCGCCAGCACACACATAATTTTGGCGCTGAAATTGCAGACCGGCCGGGAATTAATGCCGTCCATTTGAGTTGATCAATCACTTCATCAGGTTCAGCAGACCGCTGTGCTATTCTTGCAAAGCTGGCCGTGCCCGGCCGGGGATCATCGACACACACAAACATACTACTACTAACCAGCTGCAGCAGGCCGGTCCTGTGCCATGCATGCCTCCACATTCTCCACTCTCCCCACTCTAAAAGATGGCAGCGGCCGGCTAGCCCAGGCACTGCAGAGAGAGATGAATAATGCAGGATATGCTAAAGTGGTAGAGAGAGAGAGAGAGGACTGCTTTAGGGGCCCCACCCATGGCTGCTGCACCCTGCAATGGGGCAACGGGCAACGCTGATCGAAGAGAAAATAAGAACTCACTTTGTTTATTTCCTTATTAACTTCATCTCTCTCTCTCTCTCTCTCTCTAATTTGCTGCTTTCTCTCTCCTCTTGCAAACATGCATGATCTCTCCACATTTGAGTTGACACAAACACACATACACCAGGAGCTGAGGATTTGAGAGGTAAAAGCAAGGAAGTGGGCGTGCAAGCAATGGCCTACTCCCTCCGTAATGCTAAAATTTGGGAGGTGAGCCCGGTTTCAGGTTCAACAGGTCTATAGTACACAGGGGAGAGCATCATCACTTCATCAGGCATCAGGAAATAATTAACCGAAAACATGTGCTCTCCCAAATCAAATCAACTTCTAGAGTTATCTTAAGTTAAGAGTAATTTAAATTTAACTAAATTTATAGAAAATAAAAAGCACCTATTCTATCAAGTTAGCTAAACTTAGATAGTTTAACTTAAAGTGATTCTAGAAATTAATTTACATTGGGACCACAGTAAGAGTGCAAAACATCTGAAATTTTTTAATGCTTAACTATGCAAAACATCTGAAAACATGTGCTCTCCGTAATGCTTAACAATGCTTAACTATGTTAGCAGCAAATCATAAGGACACCCTGACTCCCAGTGAACAGGTTTTCCCCAAAATTCACCACCAAAGTCGTTTCCCGTTTGCATAATCATGTTACTGATTGCAACTCTATCAGCCACGGTGAAATCAGAACCAGCAAATCACCAATTTGGAGCACCAGCAAAATAAATACGTCTGACGATTATAAGAAAGAAAACATGTGGAAACTGAGGACCTTGCATGGTCAGGACGTACAATATTCAGTAAGGAGAGGCGCTAGTACTCACTGATGCAGTCCCGCGGTGGCGGCGGGTGACCGCCCTCCCCCGGTGGAGGCGGCTGTGGGGGACCGCCCGGTGGCGGCGGTGGTGGAGGGGAGGAGGCGGCCGCGGCGGTGGGGAGGCGTCGACGACAGCGGGGAGGCGCTGGAGACGGCGTGGAGGGGAGGAGGCGGCCACGGCGGTGGGGAGGCTCCGGCGACGGCGGGGAGGCGCCGGCGACGGCGTGGAGCGCGCGGGCGCGGGCGCGGGGGACGGCAGCGGTGCGGCGGGGATGCGCGAGCGTGTGCGGTGTGTGTGTGTGTCTGTGCACGATTTGAGGGAGAAACGGCTAAGTGTTGAATGCTTCTGTTTACCGAGTGGGGCCTAGATCTACGGCACTCGGTAAACAGAAGCACCGCGGAGGTACTGTTCAATGACATGCGGCCCTGGTACATGTTTACCGAGTGTCCAGATCTACGGCACTCGGTAAACAGAAGCATGGCAGCCCACTGTGGCAGACAGGTGGGCCGTGGCTAACCTTTACCGAGTGTTTGAGGTCACTCGGTAAAAGTATCCATTATTTCATGCAAAACAAAAAAGAAAAAATGCCAATTTAATCCTAAAATTCACCAAACTTTCACATGAACTATTTCATGTCATCTATTTACTATCTAAAAAATTCTAAGTTCAAATCATAATGTTGAATTTCACTCTTAATAGAAATCCTACTCGTCATTGTGAATGTTCAGCGTCTCTTTGGGAGATGTACCGGTTCGGCAGCGACAAATGTAAAAATACTTCCGAAACGTTATGAAAATTTTTCTATAACATAGATGTATGCTTCAATGTTAATTCTTCCAATCTCGTGATTTATCAAGTTCGATTTTAATTATTACAATTAAATTTACACGATATGTACCTAATTTTCATAAAGAATGAAAATTTTGTGAAATATAGTAAATAAATCAAAATAAACACCATATTTTGGAATGGAGTACTAAATATCATATGTGGATAGAGGAAAAAGAATGAAGGGAAAAACAAGAAATTTGGTTGAATTTTACCGAGTGTTGCGCCAATACACTCGGTAAAAGATAGTGTTTACCGAGTGTTGTGCACTTACACTCGGTAAACATTTTCGGTCTTTTTTATTTGCTATGAGCGCTTGATGGGCGGAGCTGTTGTTACCGTCATGTTTGCCGAGTGTATGCTCATAACACTCGGTAAACATGTCATGCCGTGACGCCGTTTGGCGCACGGTTGCTATCCTAGGTGACGTGACATCTCAATACCGAGTGGCTGTTTTTACCGAGTGCGCCCCTTCGGTAAACTTGTAGTTTTATCGAGTGTTTGAATTTACCGAGTGTGCTGACTCGGTAAAGCGGTCAACTACCGGGTATTTATGTTTTCCGAGTGTTGGCACTCGATAAGTACTGTTTTTCAAGTGCCCCGACTTTTGACACTCGGTAATTGTCGGGGCAGTCGGTAACTACACAGTCTCCGGTAGTGGCTAAGCAGCTGGTATGGAAAAGGACCTACCTGCATGAAGTCGACCGGCGACACGGCCAAGGCCTCAAAGATGTAGACGCCTTCGGCGGAGGTGACGTTGACGGTGGCCCAGAGATTGACGCCGAGGTGGAGGTCGAAGGCCGCCGGGAGCGCGCTCCGCCCGTCGTAGTTGCCGTAGTAGAAGCTGGCCCGGACGAGGTTCCTGCTTCCCTGCGCCACCGGCCGGAGCGTGTAGCAGCTGCGCGTCGCGCCGCCGCCCGTGACGGTGGGGAAGCAGCGGACGTTGAGATACCGGTCGGCCAGACCCCTATCGACGTACGGTGGCCGCACGGCGGCGTTGAGCCCCTCGCCGGCGTCGACGAAGCCGGCGTCGGGGACGTAGGTGAGCCTCGACGACGAGTCCTGGTAGCTCAAGCCCTCGCCATAGCCACAGTCGATGCTGATGAAACCTGCAGCACAGATCATCAACCCAAGCATAATCTGAGAGGGGGAACCATGAGGAAGCTTCTTGGGAGGGTCGTAGGAGACGGAGGAATTCGCTAGCTTGGCTGTGAGCTAAAAATAAAATGCATGGTAGTGTGAAGGTAGCAGCTTTTTGCCTGGAGGATCGAGCTGGCCATGGACGAGGACGAGAGGGAGCTCCAGGGATGCTGCTAGCAAGCGCACCAGGACGGCCAAGAACATCGCAGCAGTTGATGATGGCGCCATTAATTGATCTGGATAGCTGAAGCTGGGCTAGCTAGTAGACTATGTACCGGGTGGTGGTACGGTCGACCGATCGATTGTTTGCCGGCCGGCGAAGCAAACGAATGAACGCGCGGCACACGTCAAGACGTATGTACATGTGCATATACGACAGGTCAACGTCGTTTACCGTAAGCGTTGGAATTGTTGATGAATGATGATACGGATCGAAAAGGCCAGCAGAGGATGGATGGAAGTCAGCGAGCTAGGCTAAATAAAGCTGTTTAATTTGAAGTTGATGCACACATGAACGTGAGTTGCCAACCTCGCGAGGATTAAACAACCCCAGGAGATGCAATTAACAATGGTGGACGTCCTTATCCTTGCAGGCCATAGACGCGACTCCCTGTGCGCGTTCACCGGGTATGATGAGAGAGAGAGAGAGGTAAGACAGCTGAAATTGTCTCTGTCGAGTGAGGACTGTGATGTTGCAGCTCCTATTATTTCTCTATTTTATTAGAGCTAGTTTGTTTAGCTCATCTGTCATGTAACTCATCGCTTATACATTCGGCAGGCTAATTAGGGGCTCACTGGCAATTATTCACTGGCAATTATTGTTATAACATAGCTGATCGAGATATGAGGAGCACGGGGTGAGGGCCATAGAATGGCTTGTTTTATAGCCACTTCAATTTATGATAATATTTATACTAATTTACGATAAAAGTGAATGCATATTTACAATACATGTGTTACTAGTTCACGATGATATGTATCTAAGTCCTCCTTGCCTCCGCGTCGCTTGCATGGGGCGGCATGGGCGGCCACCGGACCAAGCGCCGCCACCTACACTCACCTCTCACTAGCGTAGAACAGGGTAGTGTTCCCAGTTGGGAAACCCCCGTTAGTCCTAGTTTCCCAACCGGGAAGGCCAATGCGGGACTAAAGGTCTCTCCTTTTAGTCCCGGTTCTAACAACCGGGATTAAAAGTGGACCTTTAGTCCCGGTTTCTACAACCAACTGGGACTAAATGGCCCACCAAGCCTTGTTTTGGGCCGGGCACGTTTAATCCCGGTTGGTGTTTTCAACCGGTACTAAAGGTGATTTTCTTTTTTTTTTCTTTTCTTCCCTTTTTTCTTTATGGTTTCTTTTCAATTCAATTTATTTTGATTTCAATTTAGTTATTCGTATACGAATTCTACGCTGCTAATATACGTTTGTTCGAGCATTTTACACTAAAATATATGAAACTATATACATACAAAACAGAGGACGCTTAATTAATTAATTTACATCTCCATGCATGCATGAAATAATAAGTATATGGAACTATATACACATCACAAAAGCTTGTATTCATGTCGTTCGGATTGCACTCCATCCTAATGTAAGGTGCTCGTCGTAGTGTCAGTGCTACTAGGTAAAAGCATGTTACGGTCATAGTAGTACTCGCCGGTGGGAGCTATGACTTATCCATAAGAAATCCTATCATTGCCTCTTGAATTGCTTTGAGCTGGTCCTCTCGCAGGCACAGTCGCAATCTCCATTCTCTCTGCAATTCGGATGAACGGAAAAGTATGAATTTATATGATTATATATACCAACACATACAATGGTAATAAATAAATAAATTGTATATATTTTAACGTACTTCGAGGATCTCTTCTGGAGTTTTGTTTGCGTACTTCATGAGGAACTCGCAAACGTAGTATCCGCATAAGTTGTTCCCCGGTCCCTGCTGCGGACACCACTTTACGAGGAAATAAAAGATTCATCATCAACCAATGAAGCATGTTAGTAATGACATCGTATTGAACTAATTAAAGCTACTTACAGGGTATTGGGATACATTTAGAGGCACGGTCCAAGGACGATCATTGTGTTTCTTTGTGAACCTAACCCAAGCACTGCATGCCCAAGAAAATAAATAAATAGAGTTATATTAATTAAATGGCATGCATAATAGAGTGTATATATACAAGTGTGCGCGAGACCGAAATTATATTACTTCTGCATCATAACTAGCATATCTGGGTACTACTCTCGGGGTCTCGTCGCTGAGTCAAAGATTTTTATAATGCCTCTGGGCATATCGATGACTAGTAGTATCCAGTGAAAGCTGCATGCATATGTGTTTATAAGCGTGCATAAATAAAACTCATTAACTAAAGTCAACATGCATGGCTGGAGTTAAGTAAAACGAAATGTGTGCAAGACATTAACACACTCGCTGTAAGCCGTAAGGGAAGAGCACTGTTTCCTTGTCACGGCAGGCGTCAAAGAACCTGAACAGATTATTCTCTGTTTTAGGCACCCAATGCTCAATTTTAGTGTGGATGTCCTTGAAAATAAGATCCGGATCCACGAAACCAACATCAGTCTGCCCAGCCTCCTTTAGTTCCAGCATCTGTTTTCTGCATATATATAGTACGAAATTATATATATATATAGTACAAAACTATATAGACAACAAACTATAACATGCAACAATAGTAGAAAGAATCACTTACAGACACCAGCAGCTCGTGACAGATTTGTCGAGCGTCCCTCTAAAGCAGTTGGTGTAGTTCCTCGAACATAACATGCATAATGGCATAGCCACGCCAGTACCAATGCTCAGGCTTATATCTGACAATAAGCAAGATGTCCTTCTTCGTATTACACGTATCCATGTACCACATGTTCAAGTTGTACATTTGCGTACCAAGTTTTGGCTAGTCCTTTTTGCCGACTAGACTCCTGCCCCACTTATATGTCCGGAATATATCATGCTCCCTCTCTTGAATCGGTTCATTCTCGCGGAACTGACCATCTGTAATTTCTGCGTCGGCCAGGAAGGCTTGGAGTTGCTCAATGTCGATTGTTTGACCGTACGCTGCCGAAAGTTCATCAATATTCAGTGAACCACCTTGTGGTGGTGGCTGGTCATTATGAATAACTAGCAGCAGGATAGATTGCTTAAGTTGCATCCCGAGCTGTGGAACCTCTTTCGTTGCTCTCTTCTTCCCTTTCTTACTATAGCCCTCAAATGACTTTACGAGAGAGCGGTCATAGTCCGATAGCTGCAGGGACTTCTGTCTCTCACGCCGTGCTTGCACATGTTGGAGGACTTGTTTCCTTAGTTCTTGTCGTTGTATGTACGCCGGCTTTACCGGGTTTTCTCAAGTTCCTTCCTCTTTGCTCTTTCTTCCGCAATACCTTTTTTCTAGTTAGCCAAATCCCTTTGAACCGCCGCATTTAATCGCTCTTCTTCAGACAGCTTCTGCGGAGATGGGGGCTTGGTAGTACGACCGCTACCTTTCTTCTTGGGCGCTGGGGCTGACTTCAATGGGGACAAGGGCCTCTTATGCTGCTTCCTCTTTGGCGGGGAAGGCGGAGGAGGCGGAGGAGGGGGAGACCGCCTTGTAGGTGATGGAGATGGAGACGGAGATGCACCCGTGCCAGGAATCGCACCATCATCGTCGAATGCAGCATCATCATCGAAAGCAGCAGCATCATCCGGAGCAGTACTATGATGGGTTGGGAGACCTGTGAGTGAAAAAAATGAGTGGGAGTAAGTTGTTATTGCGCGAGAAGCTAATTAACAGTTGGTGTAGCTAATTAACAAATGAGTGGGAGTAATTCACTTCTCATCCGCACCTATCATCATGAGATGGTTGAGGAGGACGACGGTGCCCTAGCCGCCGCACTGGGAGGAATGATGATGTAGCGCCTGCGCCACAAAATGACTCCATGCTGACTCTATGCTCTACTTCTCCTAGGGTCTTCTCCCCTTCACCTCCAGCAATGTCAAGAGCCACTCCCCTATGGGCGCTGATAACTATATCCACACTAACTCTATAATATCCAGGTGGAATTAAACTACCATGGATTCTTGGTGTCCTGTTAGGTTGCTCTAGAGCAACAACACCGTGCGCCACCAGGACTGTGCTATCCCCCATGGGAATGTGCAGCTCACATACCATAAAAGGCTGAGTGATGTCATCCACGGGGAAGCGCTGGAGTGCGTCATCTTGTTGTGTGGCAGGTAGCTCAGTGGAAGCGCAGCTACTTCTTCACTGAGAGGGGCTGACTCTCTGCACTGATGTTGATTGCCCCTGGCTACTCAACTGTACCGCCACTTGCTGTTTGACCTCCTCTTCGATCATCCTCTTGATCCGCGCTGTCTCCTCATCCTTTCTTCGCTGGCGGCTTCTGTAGGTATCAACGTCCTGAGGGAATCCATACCGCCACGAAATTGAACCTCTGCCTCGCGTTCGGCCAGGGTGTTCAGGATTCTAGAGGGCATTGGGCACAAACTCACCACTTGCAGAAGCATCTAGAATCTCGAGAAGTCGTTGTGCTGGGACTGCAAGTGCCCCCGCATAAATCGGAACCCCGATCTCTGGGTCCAATTTTCCCCCATGCGTGAAAAACCAACGCTTGGCACGTTCGGGCCAATCCAGTGATTGTGGAGCAATTCCTTTGGCAAACAGGTCTTCTTCCATTTTGTCCCACTTGGGAATGCCAGTCCTGTAGCCACCTGATCCCGTTTTACGATGGTATTGTTTTTTTTTTGCGCATTCTGCTGGTTCCTTCTTGATACTTGCGCACCCTCTTCTGAGGTCTTATACGCAACAAATTCTGGCCAGTCGTCCTGCAACTTTCTATATGGGCTCTTCGGACCGAAATCTGGAGTTATATCCTTCACGACAAAGTTCTTGTACAGCTTCTTCTTCCAGCTTTGGAATTGTGTGGCCATCTTCTTGAGAGTCCAGCTTTGTACTAAATTTTTGTATCGTCGTCAAGATGAGGAGGAAGACCGAAATGTGCAATGACTTCATCCCAAAGAAGTTCCTTGTCTCGATCAGAAACAAAACTGATATGAGGAGCTTCCTTCTTCTTTTTCCATTCACGGATGCTTATCGACAGCCTGTCCCTAACAAGAGCTCCACAATGGTGCACATATTTCTTTGCATTTTTTACCGGCTGCAGCGGTTCGCCGGTATTAGGATCGACTTCTGTGATTGGGAAGTGGCCACTGT